TGCTGGCCAACATGTGTGTGTCACATCGCATGCTCCAACATGTGTGTGTCACATAGCATGCTCCAACATGTGTGTGTCACATAGCATGCTCCAACATGTGTGTGTCACATAGCATGCTCAAACAAGTGTGTGTTGTATAGCATGTTTTAGCACATAGCATGTGCCCTGTGAGAGGCTATTCTTCCCTCCACCATGTGAAAATGTGATTCGGGAGGAAATTAAGGGTTAGCGAGTATTCTGTAGGTAAGGGAGAGAGTAATTGGTTCTGATGTGCAATTAGACAACAGACCCAGGTAGCGATTAATTGCCAAATGGGGAATTAAACAGCAGGTTGGAGATAATGATTCTTGGTGAGCTGGGGGGGAGGGGGGGTGTAGGTTGCTGAGGGTAATGAGTGCGGTGGGGGGGTCCTCTTCTTGGCAAAAACAGGTGTTTCTATGTCTTCAGGACGGTACGGTCTGTCTGAGCAGTAAAGCCGGGTGGCAGATGCCAGTACAGTGTGGTCTGTCTGTGGGATAAAGCCGTATGGTGGATGGTGGATGGTACGAGTAGTGCAGCGCGTACTGTCTGAGCAGCATGGGGGTACAGGGCGGTCTGTCTGAGCAGCATGGTGGTACAGGGCGGTCTGTCTGAGCAGCATGGTGGTACAGGGCGGTCTATCTGAGCAGCATGGTGGTACAGTGCAGTCTGTCTGAGCAGCATGGTGGTACAGTGCAGTCGGTCTGAGGAGAACGGTGGTACAGGGCGGTCTGTCTGAGGAGAACGGTGGTACAGGGCGGTCTGTCTGAGCAGGATGATGGTACAGTGCAGTCTGTCTGAGCAGGATGATGGTACAGTATACTGTAGTCTGTCTGAGCAGCTTGGTGGTACAGTGCAGTCGGTCTGAGGAGAACGATGGTACAGTGCAGTCTATCTGAGCAGGACGGTGGTACAGTGCAGTCTCTCTGAGCAGGACGGTGGTACAGTGCAGTCTCTCTGAGCAGGACGGTGGTACAGTGTAGTCTCTCTGAGCAGGACGGTGGTACAGTGTAGTCTGTATGAGCAGGACGGTGGTACAGTGCAGTCTATCTGAGCAGGACGGTGGTACAGTGCAGTCTATCTGAGCAGGACGGTGGTACAGTGCAGTCTATCTGAGCAGGACAGTGGTACAGTGCAGTCTGTCTGAGCAGGACAATGGTACAGTGCAGTCTCTCTGAGCAGGACGGTGGTACAGTGTAGTCTCTCTGAGCAGGACAGTGGTACAGTGTAGTCTGTATGAGCAGGACAGTGGTACAGTGTAGTCTGTATGAGCAGTAGATCCACACGGTAGATGGTGGTACAGCGTGGTCAGCGTGATCCTGATGCCCCATGTCTCCTGTTCTCGGCCCAGTTCCACTTCAACCCAGCCCAGTCCATCCTGGTCATGGAGGGCGATGACCTGGAGAACATCAACACAGCGGTCAGGAAGGTGTCCTACATCAACTCACGGCAGTTCCCCACACCGGGCCTGCGGCGCCTGCGCATCTCCACAGCCGTGCAGTAAGTCCCCGTCGTTAATCCCGCGGGCGACTCCACGCCCTCGTTTAGGTTACTATGCATCCCTGTCATTCGCTAAAGGCAATCGCTCATGTCATTTTCTTTAGGGTGTGTGTAAATATGCATGCAGGGTTTATATATGCATGGGAGGGTGAGTAGGGGCATGCTCTGAGGGCACGGTCCCTTCAACCAGAGCACAGGGGGGAGAGAGGAGGAGCATAAATAATACTGATAGGAAATATCTTTCTAAAATTGACTCTGCCTGGTTGTTGGTTCTAGGTGTTTCGTTTTCACCAGCATTAGATGTTTCAGTGCCAGTAAGTGTGAGGGGGGGCTCAGCCTGCCCCTCTCCACTAGTAATAAACTAGGGGAACAGGCTCCTCCCCTCTCATATAAAGACAATCCACCCCCTACCTAGATGTGGCTCTACTCCTTTGCCATTCAGAGGTGGCCCCGCCAATGAGACTCCCCCCCGGGAGCTAAACTCACAATTGAGAGCCCATTCAGTTTTCCCAAATAAACAGCAGAAGTGGCCCCATCTGGCAGGTAGGGGGCGCCATGTGGACAACTCCGCAGAGCACCGCTGTCATTTCAAACCCGGGAGGCAGGACTTGGATGCCAGGCAGCAGCTTGACTTAAAAGAGATGGAGATGAGCCATTTCAGAGCAGTGTCCAGCCCCTGGAGCCCAAACGATGAATTTCACCATACAAAAATAAATAAAGTACTAGATTGGGCTCCTGTTTGTCCTCAAACGTTCTGCCAGTGCTCGAGTGGCATCCTAGCAGCACTTCTTCCAGGGTCGCACCACGGCAGTACTACTCCTCGCATCTAGGGGGCGCTATGGAGCAGTACCATTAGACACCCGTGATGTGAATCTGGGTTCGACCTGGCTCTTCGGGATCTGGGGTATGACACGGAATGCAGCGAGACGGATTACAATGTCAGACAGCTGTGTGTGAGACAACGTGTTAATTGTTTAACGCAGCAGAAAGATGTGGCCAAAATAATTAAAACCGCAGGTTTGCTTTTCCCAGAATTATCTGAACCTGATAATTCCGCTCAGTAATTCCACTGGCAGCTTTTTTTCTTAACACCAAAGATAATTAGTGCTCGTGTTAGTTTGTTCTTGTTAATGGAATTAACGGCACATGACTCCTACTGGCTGTCACATGAAGGAGGCGTCGGCACGGCAACGAAAAGGCACGCAAACTCAACACGCTAGCCGCCCCCAGCAGACTCCGCCCACGGACTCCTCCAGCGAGATGGTTTGTGCCACTTCAGATGCTGTCGGAGATGCCACACCACACACTAACGAAGCCGTTAATTAGCGACATTATAGATATCGTACCTACGGAAAATACCGCAATTTGTTTTTCAACTGGCCTTTAATAACCATAATTACTGAGAGCGTCGGGGAACAGGCACCGTTCAGCTGCAGCTTCCCTCTGCGGCACGCCACGATTTACCAAGCTGGACGAGATCCAGCAGCTCATCAGGAGAGACACTTCTGGTGGGGGCGGACTAACTTCTCTAGGGGCCCTAGGCTGACATGGTGGGGGGCTAAAGGGGCCACTGGAGATATTTTTGGGGCTGAAAGAGAATTGAGAGTGAATAATAAACAATGAACATACATAATATTGTAATCAAAGTGAGGGGGGGCAGCAGTAAGTGGGGGCAGGAATGCTGTTGGTAAAATGTGCTGATGCAGAGGTATTGTGTTGCAGGATCGATTGGTGAAATTTAAGAAGTTTAATCATTCCGTCTTTTAAGGTTAATCATGAATTCTTGCGTACTTTCATTTAATTGTGCTCTGTTCACAAGTTATCAAGTTATCTACCAGTCTGGTGAGGCGGTATCAGATAAGGGAGATGTGATCAGACAAGGGAGATGTGATGTTAGTCTTGTAACTTTGTGCCAGTTCGCTTGGCAGTGAACCACCTATAGAGTGCAGTGGAAGTGTCAAAGTGGAATAGTCCATTACAGCCGGGACAGGGGCGACTTTATCTATCCTGAAAACTGTTGGGTTATGACTGTGCCCCATGGGCCTCACCCCGGTGACGTTCTGTCTGTCACGAGGTTTGTAGGCTGGAGTACAGCTGTGCTAAGGGTCGCCATAAAGCTGAGACGGGGGGGGCAGGAGCCCTTTAACGTTTATTACCGCAGATGTGGATGAAAGATGAAGCAGGCACCTTTGGCAGAGTGCCGTATCAGAGTCACTGCCCCCACGCGGGCAGAGGGGGGCTGCATTACTCCACGCCGCAGTCATACGTACCGGGTCAGCGCGACTCTCTTCGCAGCTGCAGCGTCTGTGGAGGGCATCAGGTGTCTTAAATAAAAAATGTGCTACATCTTCTCGTTCCTCTGCCCTGCTGTTTAATTCATGTGGGCAGAGCAGCACTGCTGCTTCAGTAGTGATTCGCGCAGCATCGCCGCGACGCACACGTGTGTTTCCATGCTCAGGTTCACTGGTGTGACGAGTGTAACCGTGATGAGGGGCTAAATGAATGAGTTTGCAGTGGAAAAGCAGAAATGATCTCTGCACCCTGCCTGTGAGGAACGGAAAAGCTACACCGCGTCCCTCTCACAGGTGCTTCGGCGAGGACACGTGCATCTCCATCCCGGACATCGAGGCTGTGGTGATGGTCCTGCAGCCCAGTGAACCGCAGATCACCATCACCGGATCAGAGCACCTGAGCCGGCCGGCCTCGGATCTCCAGGACCCTGCTGGGCTGCTACTCTTCCGGGACCTGCACATCGTCAGCACCATCAGCCGGGGAGATGGTTCTGCCTACCGCACAGGTATGACACCGTCACCGGGGGCCATTAATTCCAGCATCGTGTTGACCTGTTTGTTAATTAGGCTGGTGAGGGCGCCCCCCAGTGGTCACTGTGCCACAGGGAAAGGCAAAAGGTGAAAAACATTTCAGGTCAGAATAGCTGCTCATCGTCTCACGGATGATGTCTCTCCCCCACAGCCCACGGACCAGGGGTCCTGGAGGAGATCATCCACAACCTGGACTACTGTGACCTCCTGGTGATCGGGGAGGAGCTGCAGACGGAGGTGGAGTCCTTGCAGCTCCCGCATGCCGCCCTGCTGGGGAAACACCTCGACGCCACAAACTCCACATCTGGTATCTCCATCTACGGTAAGCGACGCCTCACCCTGCCCCGCCACAACAACATGTGAGATCGTGACCATGTGACCGGTCCCACCCCCCCCACCCCCAGGCGTGGACTCCATGTCCAACTATGAGCGGGTGATCAAGCAGCTGAGGTACCACAACCAGCACGCAGCAGACCTGGGGGGCCGCAGGTTCAGACTCACCTGCTCAGAGCTCAACGGCCGCTATACCAGCAACGAGTTCAATCTGGAGGTTAGCGCCACCTGTCTGTGGGAAGCATGAAAAGCAGAACACATCTTAATTAATGCTATTAAACTGTTTCTCTATGATGGTAAATTGGTTGGCACTTCTGTTCAAAGTGACAATGTACCTGAAGGTCCCTGCTATAGCAGAGCACTTAATTAAATTAATTACTTCCCTAATTGGAGGAATTGAACCTTCATACTTGTTCATTAGAATCACAAAAGCCCTGTGCCGCCCCCTTCTGCCCCCCACAGCCCTCATGATGCTCATTCTACATTACTGCCCCCCCAGGTCAGCGTGCTGCACAGCGCGGCCCCCCCGCAGCACATAAACCACATGGCAGCGCAGCCCCAGTACCTGCATGCCGTCCAGCAGCCGGTTGCCGCCCACATCCCCGGCCACGCCCACAACTCCGGTAAGGACGTCGCCGTCTGCAGGGACAAGTGCATTGTGGGTTTTCAGGGACGTGGTTTGGTACAGCACTGGACCACAGCATGACATAACATGACATGAGCCAGCAGAGTGGCTTAAACTCCTCAGTGCAGTCATGATGATTTCACACATTGCGGGACAGTGAGACACATTCGCCCAGTGCAGCGATGCTGTTGATCACGCTTCTGTGTCGACGTGAGGCTAAAAACAGCTCTTCCCCTGATGATAATTCTCCACCTGAGCAATCAGGTGGTTTCACTGTCTTGCGTAAGGTCTGTGGAGCTGGAGATCAGCCAGGATCGGGGGAGGGGGAGAGACGGAAGAGCTTTCCTCTCAGCACCTAACCAGGGGAGATTTAACTGATTAGGACGTCCACAGGAGGGGGGGGGGGATTGTGTTTGCTCAAGATCGTACAATGATACTCTTAAGATGGCCTGCAAATTTGATGGTTAGCACGGATTTAAGTCAGATAGACATCAATCTCTACTGCCCCCTACTGGAGGAGATGACACAGAGCAGTGGGTGACAGATGAACCAGGGACCTTCTGCTATTTGATGTTTTCACTGTTACTGTCAAGTACATAATTAACTGTAAAGAATAGGCTGTCTCATGGAATCAAACAGAAATTACGTTCAAAAGGAAAAAACAATGTTTAATGCCCTTCAGAGGTGCAGGGATCTCTGCCCCCGTTTGCTGATCTCCAGTTTGCCCATGACACCTCAGCACTGCCCTCTGGAGGCTCCTCAGGAACACACATGATCTTTCAGGGCAGCAGCTGGCACAGGGCAGTTAGGGAGAGGTCTTAGTCGCTGCCTGCAGGCCAGTTTCATTAACAAAGTACTTATTCAATAATAAAGTACTGTATAATTAATCAATATGCCTGTATGACTGAGATATGGTCCAGCACCTGACGTGTTTGTGCCCACTTGTGTGAGTGCATGTTTTCCTGGATTTTGGTGTCAGCAAAGAACAGCCCCAGAAAAGCATGACATTTGAGTCATCACAGGACATCGATAGAGGTCCTGGAATCATGTCATCGGGGCCACATTGTAATTCCACTTTGCCTGCTCTACTCTGTCCTCCCCCCACCAAAACCCTTTAATGCACAGCCATCCCAAGCTTTGCCACCGTGGTGATCGTGATCTGCATCGCCGCCCTGGTGGTCATCGTGGTTCTGGGCATATACCGCATCCATGTGGCCCACCAGCAGGATGCCAAAGGTGAACACGACAACAAAGATGATGGAGAGATGGAGTGGGACGACACAGCCCTCACCATCACGGTGAACCCCATGGAGGTGAGACGCCTCATGGACCGAGGGGTTCGAAACGGAGAGGCGGGGAGTCAGAGACAGGAAGTGAGACAGAGAAAGAGGGAGACATAGAGGCAGATGTGAGAGGAAGCAATACAGTGAAGGAGAGGCAGAGGCAGGAGGTGCCAGACAGGTGGAGCAGAATGAGGATGTGCACTGCATCTTCATGTTCTAACCTGGGTTTCTTCATGGGCCAGAACTTGGAGGGGACACAGGCTGCAGATGAAGAGGTCAGTGAGGAAGAGGAGGAGGAGGAAGACGATGACGAAGAAGAAGATGAATTGGAGGAAGAAGTCACGAGCGCAGAGTCTGAAGAAAGTGATGAGGAGGAGACTCGGGGTGCCCAGGGGCCCCATGAGGGCGACAGGAGGGCCCAGTTGGAGTGGGACAACTCAACATTACCTTACTAAACACACACAGCCATGTTCAGGAAACCTGTGCCTGATTCTAAGGCTACTGATTCATTGGCAAGACTACCATCTTCCAAAAGGTCTGTTTTTCTGAAAATCAAGCCCTTTTACAAAATGTACTCTGCTGGTCTGAAATGTGTACTGCACAACAAATTTGCTCCCATAGAGACTGCAGTGTGACTATAGGCAATCCCCCCCCCTTCTGTCCTTTAGCTATTCAAACAGTAAATGATGATAGCTGTCAATCACTGTCGCACGTAAATTATAAAAAGACCACAGTTAATAGGCGCACAGTCACACCCTAAGCTTGTACTTGTAATTTCAGACTCCAGTTAGACAGCTGGGTGGCTGCATTTCACACCTTCACTTCGGATCACTACTTCCTACAGAAGAAAGTGAGGGTGCATCGTCTTGTTGTTGAAAACCCGTAGTCTTTGCCCAAAACACAGTAATTTGCTTGTTAGAAATCCCCTCAGCAATTTTCTGGGTCTGAAGTCACACAACAAATATTTGTATTTGTTAATTCTCGTTTCCCCCCAAAATACTCAGTTGCTCAGAGCGTCCATGGCGGGGGAATGTGCGATTCCGCAATGATTAAAACATCTTGCAATGTAACCCCCCCGTGACCCCAGTTGGGATTAAGCTGTGTCAGGAAATGGATAGATGGATGCAATGTAACCCAGGCGCGGACTGGCCATAGGGGAGTTCGGGAAATTTACCGGCGAGCCGGTCGGCAAAATATACCAAGGGGGAGGACCCCCCCGGTCAGCGGCAAGATTATCAAAGTGACGGCAAATTCCCGGCCTGCTTTTTTTCCCAGTCCGCCCCTCATGTAAGCTGTGTCCTTATGTGAAGTACCACAGGAATTTTAAAGTAATGTACCTTTAATAAATATGATTAATTTATTTGCAGTATTTTAATATATTAAAGCTGTTTTTTTCTTGCAGTTGAATATATTTTACTTATGTCTATCTAAACTCTTTCAAATGTTTATTTTAATGGTAATTCTAAATCTTTAGAGATGCAAGACACAAACTCGGTTTGAGAATCAGACTTCTGCGGAAGCCTCCCTTTCCGCTGACAGTGAGGGAGGAGTGCGGCTGTACACTTTTATATACCGGTCTGTACATAGCGTTTAGAGTAGCGTACCCCATTCCCGGCTCACAAGCCTCCCCCCTGTCCATGTGCATCCCCTCGTCCCAGCCCCCTTTCTGTGTACCCATGATGCCGTGTGCTGTCCCGTACGGGTTCAGACGATCCAAGCGGAGCCGGCGCGGTTCCCGTGCCCCCCCCAGGGCGGACCCCTTACGATCGCGCCGCGGTGTCGCCTGGCCGGATTCGGAGAGGCTGAAATATCATCACGATGAGGCCGAAGCCCCTTGTCGTCAGCAATACTGCCGGAGAAACACCCCCTACTCTCTGGGGTCTCTCCACCCGGACTGGGACAGGTGTAGGTACGTGTAAAGTCTGTGTCAGTGGTTCCTTTTTGCCATCCGTGACCGTGACTCCCCCCTCCCCCTTTTCAGACTCGGATCCCCAATCTCCGGCTCTTTCCATACCGTCCATCGGATACAGGGAGATTTATGTTGACTCCATGATTGCCAGCTGTCTGTTAGACAATAAAAGGAGAGGGCGAAGTGCAGTATCCCAAGCCTGTAAAATGTGTAAAACGTTTTTTAATTGCAGTTTCTCTCCGACTTTGTTATGGGTTTCCTTCCGTTCCGGTGGTCACTACAGCACTGTACATCGGCCAATAAAGATCTGTTTTACAATCCACCTGTTTCTCTCTTATTGTGTGTGTGTGTGACTGGCGGGACCTAAGAGATCACGGTCTTGCTTATGGCAGACGGGAAGTGAGTGCGACATGCGGGCCGGCACAGCGCTGCCGAGTCGAGCCAGACCGAACCGGGCCGATCGGGGGCGGACAGCGCGCATAACTAGATCTCACCACCGGGACCTCATTTCCCATCACAAACCCATTAGTGCTGCTTTGAGAAGGTCAATAATTCACCACTAACACATTAGGCAGCATAACTGCTATGAAATTGCCGTCCGGTGTACATAAATAAAAGTCTGTTTTTCTTGTACGACTGACAAAATATTAGTGCGGCCACACTTGATCATTGTTGCTAAATTAGCTAGATAACAGCACTGTAGAGAGCTTCCCTGAACAGCAATACCTTCCATTACACTAAAAGGCAAAAGCTCTCCCCAAAAAGCAAACCTGCTAGCAGATGAGCCCCGCAGGGCTGTAGCACTGCAAGATGAGTTACGCTTTGGCGCCCACAAGAGGCCACAACTCAGTAATAGCACCTAATAACAATGACTTAGTACGTTCATGCGCTGCGGTCACGTTCGACTCACTCCACTGCTTTCACGGCGCAATATCATATATATATACAGTATTAAAGATTATTATTAAGGAGAATAAAAGACTGATTTGTGAAATACTCTTTCCACTTAAATATAAAATGATTAGTTCATACTTAATCTAACCTTGTCGTGGTTCTGGCCACATCTGGTCTCTCTTCCAAGTTCTGAGACCAACAGATACCGTCAGACCAGATGGGGACACAAGTATGAAGGAAAGGTGAAGGCAGGGCAAGCTCTGCAGTGATCAGGGAGCGGCTCCCAAGATGGGGCAGGGCTACCAGAACCTGCTTTGCTTCAGAAGAAATTACCATAGGTAGAAACTGCGCCCCCTGTTGGACGAGTCCCAAGGGAGAGCTTCGGTATGTCCAGCCACGAGCCATGGGCAGACAAGCCCTTTACAAGGACGCTCAGACCTGTGTCCACTGCCATAGATGCTGCCCACTGGTGCTTTATGGGAGAAACTGGAGCATGCTGGGAAATGTAAGCTTTTTCGGTCAAGCTCGACAGATTATCAGCTGCCACTCGAACGGAGTAATGGGGGTAAAACATAGTGAGACGCTGCCGTTTGCTGTGAGACGTAACTCAGCCATTGTATTTATATCATTTCACTGACTTTGGACACACAATTAACCTTGAGGCTAATTTAGCATCATTAAACCGCATTTCAGCTGTTGGTCGGAATGAATAATTTCCTGACAGTGTTTCAAAAGCTTTTCAAAAATGAAGACCCAGCGATATCCCTGGCTAATAACTGTATACCCAAATAAATTCCCCACAAAATATGAAGTGTTTGGTTAATTGATAAAATTGCTCTAGGGCACAGAACATATACTTTAATTATTCTCGGATAAATAAAGTAATTGGAGTCAATAATTAGATTCCACAGCTGTATGGGAAATACATTGGCCACACACAGTCTATATATTCATATCTTTATGGGCACTCTCCATTCATTTCTATGGGCATAACCCTAGAATCCAAAATATAACAACCCTAACCGCTACCCAGCTCTAACATTAATCACCTGTAACCAAACAAAAGACTTCCCGCATTTTTAGGTTTTTGATGGCAGTCACAGATTTAAAATCAACTTCAGGTTTTCATTGGGGGGGTCCCCACAAGGTAAAAAGTTACAGGTTTTTAATAACATTGTGGAGAAATCTGGTCTCCACAATTTAATAATTATAAACATACACACACACAGACTGCTAAATTGCCTGGTTCACTTGAACAAGCATTCACATTTAAGGTCAAACCTCATGATTAAACCATTAATCCCGACTAAGCATCACCAGCTCCTCTCCAAATCCAGGGTGTCGCTTCACGCCCACAAAATTACTGCAGGAGGACAAGCTGCAGCTCCTGCTGAATGGCTGGGCTGTGCCGGGCTTGGCTGAGCGGCGCCGGCGGGTCGTCCAGAAGGCAGAGCGGCCCGGGAGCTGCCAGCCGGCACTAATCTGTGGGTTCATGTTCAAAACAAACAGCGTGGAAAGAAGAGACTGGTTCAAATTCCATTAAAGGCAAGTTAGCGTGATTAATAAAAGGATTTATGGGTAACTACCTATTAAACACAGGGAAGTAATTTCATTACCCATACCCTGCCCATTGTAATAGGTTGGTAGTAGCGTGAACATTAATATTGTGTAATTTTAATTAGACGCTCAGGTGCAGCGTCTGTAAATTACTGCACCTATAAATTAAGTTAACAGGTTAATTAAAAGTCTTCTGGGCATTTGCTGGGTGTCAGGGTTAAATGCCTTTGTGAAGCAGCGTCCAGAGATCTGTGTGTCCCACAAAACGTTGATAGGGCAGATGGTGTTCTGCAGTCCAAAGATTTAGACTAGGCTTGAGTTTATCGCTCCCCTTGTGGAGGGATTATCGTTGAGAGCCGCAATTGGCTTGGTTCTGATGGAGCAGCATCGCCCCCTGGTGGTGAAACACCCTAGTCGTATCAATGCTCTACTCCACCTGGTAAAATGGCCCACGTGGTGACTGAAATGGATTTACATTCGCATGCTTCCCATCTCTTCCCCACAGCTAGCACAGCCCTGAGGCAGGCTGCCAGTTAGCGTGCGCACAGAATGCTAACTGTGCGCTTATCCCCCGCAGCCCCCAGAGGAAAGAGGTGATATCAACAATTAACACCCCTGTTTATCTGTTTATTTTACAGATTCCCTCTCAGCCGGTTTTGCTTTGAAGTCTTTTTTTTTTATTGGTAATGAAGGGCGCTTCGATCAGCGCTTATGCTTAAAATTACCATTCGAGATGCAATTAATTTTAAGAGGCAACTCAACATTGGGGCACAAAACAAATCAGCCTTAATTAGAGGGATCTGCAAGCCAGTGAGGTGGGAATAGCAGGACGCCCTCTGGGGCACGCCGCTGCCTCCATGGCAGAGCACTCACCGTACTGCTCATTACCGACACGCGGACCGCCACCAGCAGGCTATATAAGCCGAAACCTGCACAGTTAGCGTGTAGCAGTGCAGTGCGCAGCATTAAGGCTGGTTCAGATACACATAGCCTGCGCAGAGTTAGCGTGTAGCAGCGCACTGCAATAAGGCTGGTTCATACGCATATAGCCTGTAGTTAACTTCAATGGGACGTGTTACTGTAGCAGTTAGGCTATAGTGATCAAGGTAGCCCTCCACATTGCCTCACTTTCCACTTTGGCCTTTTAGTCAGTACGCACTCGGTTAGGGAGAGGCAGCCATTTAAAGCATTTACACGCCACATGAATGGTTTCCATAGCAGCATTTAAACAAAATAATCCGTAATGAAATGAATGTCTCCCGAGGTGCAGCAAACACCGGGAAGCTGTCCAACTCGCACACTCACACGAAGCCCCAACGGCAGGCATGTGGGCGCGGACGGTGACCTCAGCGGCGACCGGACCGCACGCTCTTGGCGGATTAGTGACATCGTACCTCCGGCGTCAGGCTGCAAACATCTGCATACAGAACAAATGGTTGGGTCCAGAAAGCCCGCTTGACGGGAGGGGTGTGTGTGTGTGGGGGGTGTTCTTTCAGCGAGGGACAATAAGGACGTTCAGTTCTGTTTATGTTGTTAGCATTTGCACTTTCAGTGCCATTACAGGTCAGGTTGAACTCCATGCTAGTGAAGCACAAATATGGATGGAAAATGTATACTTAAGCTCCTTAAGGAAAGTGTTTCCACGTAGTCTAAAAATCACCGTGTACGGAGTTAAGAAAGCTGAGTTTTAAATACAACCCAAGTATTATTGTAGGAATAAGGGGCAAATGAACATGTATATAAATCTTCCTCAGGTCTAGAAGGACCATTCATCAATGTTTACATTCGGACGGGAGCCCAAAAAAATGTGGAATATGCGGGTGTAGTTTTCAAAGGTGATCACCAGGTGGCAGTGTGGAAACAGCCCGGACAGCTGCACTTTGCAAACTCGGCGATGAGAAGGCTTCGCAGGCGAGTGGATCAGAGGCAACAGTGGATTAGCACCTAATTAGAGAGCAAAGCCTTGATGTCTGACCCTGAGCACAAAGGCGGGGCATCTATATCACATAGAAAAGAAACACTCTGTCCTAAAAGTGACTCGACACTCTCACCAAAATTCTGCAGCGTCAGGGAGGTCATTTTTATTAGAACGTCTGTGACTGTAGTGGATGGGTAGTTGTTCAGGTATCTGAATCACTCCGCACCAGTGCAGGGTCAGTGACCTTCGCCTGATGCTGGTATGATACAGAGGACAGCCTCAAGGTGGTCATCTCACAACACGCTCCAATGTTAGCCATCATGTACAAAGCTGACCTGCAGGGCCACAGCCGCGAGAGGGACAATCCTGATGTCCCTATGGCAGCAAGCACCTCTCTCTCACTCTCACACACACCAGTGCTGACGTCACCCCTGCATGTGACCGAATCCAGGGATTTGTGTCCAACAGAGCACCACTAACTCAGGTCAATGGCTCTGTTCACACTCAACACAGGTCACAGGCATTCAGCTAGAGCATTTATGCCCAACAGCGCCATCCTATGGCTCCATGTAAGCATGACGCCATCTCATTTATATGTACGCAAACACACAGTAAAACGACACACTTAGTCCCTTCAGTAAAGTCTGACTTGCTGAGTAGTACAGTGGATATTCCAGCCACAGGATCTGAGTCGCTAACGTCTAGATCGAGTGGGAGAGAGAGGGTTAAATCTGTTTAAAACCTGGTAAACACCACAAATTCAATGCACTAAAAGCGAAGAAACAACCCAGGCATACATATTGCATAAATAATGATTATATTTGGGGGGGGGGTCTCATGGTGAACCGACATGTTTAAGTGCCATAGCAGCAACCCGTCTCTGGATCCCCACCCTCAAGTGCTACTCCACATGCCCACAGACCCCAGGCTCAGGTTATAAAGAGCCAACGGGAAATAAAGAGCCACTTCCAGTGGTCAGATGCAGAAAACAGCCTCCCATACAGACACTGACATGAACTTCAGGTTCACTGGCATGTTTACCCATTATGCTCCATGGTGAATGATGCAAAACTTGAACTTCCGTAAGACCTGGGCCCCGTACTACAAAGCGGGGTTACTGGCTTATCGGGGTAACTTGTTGGATTTAAGGTAGTCTGGGCAAAATGTAAGTCAACGAATATTAAGTCCATTTAAACTGTGGTACCTTAAATCCGACAAGTTACCCCGATAAGCCAGTGACCCCCGCTTCGTAGTACAGGCCACAGGAGGGTGTTCCCCAAAGCAGCATTTCTCAGTCAGCTGAGTTAAATTAAGCTAGAAGTAATGATTGTCATTGAGAGCTTAGGTAAGGATCATTCCTATTGAATAATTATGACTTCCAGCTTAAGTTAACCCAGCTGACGGCGAAATCCTGCCTCGTGGAACACCCTGCTGAGCAGAAACAAACAACAACAACTCCATCTGTTTACCACCCCCAACCAAGTGAAGAAACAGCTGAGGGTCTTAAAGAGCATCTGGTTTGGGTTTTAGTGCTCTCATCCGTTAAGCGTGTGGGCTTGAGATCTCACAGAACACTATTATAAACACTCCAGTGTAAAGCACAGAACCAGCAAGAGGTTATCATCTTCAGCACAGGGTCCTCCTCCCTGAAGCACCAGCAAACGGTCATCTACACAGATATCGGTTATCAAGAACTCCCGCCCAGGAATTAATTATGCATGTATGCATCTTTCCATCCATCCATCTATTCATTATAAATTATAAGACATCTCTGAACGGCTGTGCTTCCGAACTGCTGATATAACAGAAAATCTATGGGCCAGAGAACCATCAGCAAGCTACCAAGGGGTCCGTGCCTGCACTCGCTCCGGCAAAGGGCTCATTTTTAGTATGGCACAGTGAGAAAAGAGAAGAAACAGCCCAGACGCAGAGCTATGAGACTGCCGTATAAATAATCCATGAGGAGAAAAACGCAGGCCAGTTAATGTGCATCATCCTCCAGTGACCTGGCAGTGAACTGCAGGCCAGAGAATTAGCAGGGTTAGGGCTAGTAAAGGAGGGCAAGGGCTTTTAATAAAGGGTTAGGACTGGTGAAGGAGGATTAGAGTTAATAAGGGCTGATGGTCCCTTAAAGTCAGAATGTAGCGTCTCTCTCAGGGCACAACCTGAATTACAGTCCTCCGTGTTCAGGTCCAAATGGACCGGGCTAGATTTGCCAACTTGGCCAGAACTTAGCTTCTCGGTAGCCGGTACTGATGGGCGTTAAGGTTACTGACCATCGACAATGGAAACACTTCATAGGTGACCAGAGTTCAGCCAGTCGGGGAGGGGGGGGGGGGGTTACTGCACAGGCCCAGTCTGCCCCCCAGGCCCCCGGCCAACTAATACAGGATGAAGACCATGAGCCAAGTCCCATTCTTCAAGTCAACTTTATTCACATTTAAAATATGCCAAGGTCTACCGACGGCCCCAGTCTCAGCGGGACAGACAGGAGGGCGGAAAGCGAGATCCGGCAGGAAGTATGAGAGCCATGTCGATGCTGATCGGAACGGAAGGGCAGCACTAAATGTCGTCTAGTGCAGCCACTAAATGAGGGACAGAAACAGCAGCAGACAGATAAGCGAACGGCGACCCACAGTATAGGGTGGGTCACGACCCGAACCCTGACAATGAGCGCAGTGGACCGGGACAGGGGGTGTTACTAAGCCATATTAAAAAGGTTTCAGACCAGATGAAGCGCATTTAAAAGTTAAAAAACAAACATGAGTCCAGGGTGGCACAGCTCTGTGAGAGACTGCAGAGGGGGGGTGCAGCCGCCCTTGGTGTTGGATGGGGTTAACACACGCTGCTCGGATCCATCCGGAAGCTTCTGGCCGCTGTCACACATGGGCTGGCTCTGAAATCCTCACTGAAGTCCAGGACATACTTTAAGAAAAAATATATACACACGTCGAGCTCCTTGGGCCCCCCTCTGTGTAGCTGTGTAGGGCTGGTGTGCTTCCTAAACTGTTCATGGACACGGGGGTGGGGGGCCCAGAGTTTGGATATGACCGCAGAACAATAATTTAAAATATTAAAAAGTAAACAAGTCTCTAAATGTAAACAAGCCCTACCCCCCACTGCTCCCAGCGCCTCTGCATGCACCGAGCCTCTGCCTAGTATTTCCATGCTCTACCCCTCCCCACAGTCTCGGGCCTTGATCGCCGCTCCCCCTGGTGGTCGTCACTGGTACTGGAGGTATTTCTTCAGGGACTGGGGCAGAGGAAGTGTCTCTATCTGGTTGAGGCGATCTCGGCCGAGGGCGAGGCGGGCTGCCCGGCGGCACAGGTCCATGAGGGGGAGGGGCTCCGCTGGAAGGAGGGAACAGAGGAGGGGGAGAGAGAGATGGAAGGGAAAACCATTAGCAACACCAAACCCAGATTTGCAGACTCACTCTGCCAAAGTTGGATTCCTTGGGATCAGTTGAGTATCATCAATGCTAACAGGAAGTGACACAACTGGCTACGGGTAACAAGAAGTGAGCGAGCAGGATGTTAGATACCCCCCCAACCCCCATTAGAGGGCACTTGACAACCATGGCCTAGAATCGCGTACGTTACTTTACACGTTGGTGCGTTCTGTCGACGGCAGCCCTGGTTCAGCAGCCTCTCCGCGTCCAAATCCTCAAACAGCCAACCCATGGCCGCCCCCTACTCAGGCTCCAAAAAGCTACTGGCAGACCTCTGTGGCATCCTCTGGAAGCTTCGGCAACAAGGCTCAAGGAATGGATAGACACAGATCAAGGACATAACTGGTCTTCATGAGGAGGAGGAAGACAGGAGGAGGGGTGGTACGAGGCGGGACGCACCCAGAATACTAATGAAGCCCTCGGCCATGGCGCCACTGGACAAACGGACCTGTTCTGACCCATTCACACCGCGGCTCCCTGCAGATTCACATTGAGCGTCTATTAGGGAGTTTATCTCTTGACCTTAAAGCATCATGCTATTTTACACCATACAATATGGTAGCATGCCCACACATGAACACTGCTAGAAGAGGAGGTGAAGGAGTAACACGCGAGATGGAGTTCCAAAAGCGTGCTCCCCCAGAGGGAACCAACTCCATAAATACTGATATCAGTGCACAGCCTTATTAATACTTATTCAGGAGGGGTCACTCCCAAAAACTGTGGCATTCCTTCACAAAGAGGAACTGTGAACAGAGTCCCAGCAGAGGAGTCCCAGCAGAGGAGTCCCAGCAGAGGAGTCCCAGCAGAGGAGTCCCAGCAGAGGAGTCCCAGCAGAGTCCCCGCTCTCCAAATAAGAACATGGGCCCCCGCTGGCAACTTAAAAAGACTCTGGAAATATGCAGAGTTTGCAGACATGGCAGAGCAGAGCGCTAAGCCATGGCGGATCAGAACACCACTGCCGCGTCACACCAAACACGGCTCCTCACCAAACACGGCTCCTCACCAAACACGGCTCCTCACCAAACACGGCTCCTCACCAAACACGGCTCCTCACCGGCTGCAAACTGTCAAGGCTGCATGCAACTCAGCTCTCACTCAGAACTGGCCGGGTCGCTCATTACTGACCAAACTGAACTGTGTTTAAAATTGCAGTCAGTGGAAAGAAATGGAGGCTGAGATGATCACCAGTGTGTGTGTGTGTGTGGGGATTGGGTCTGTGTCACAAACACAACCATGACCCCCTCCCCCCTCCCCGACATAACCACCCCATTCAAATGGAGCAAGCCACGATCGATACCATGACCCCGAGGTTGCTGGCCGCAGTGCCCACGGACACCCTGGGGCGTGGTGCCGCGATTAAGCACACCACCCAATCCCACCGGCTGTAATGAGCTCTACGGCGCCGGCCAGTTTAATGCCCTGGTGTTTTTCATTTGGACACAATGGGACGGGTCATTAAAGTGGGTAATTCAGAGGCACGGGGTGCGATTCGTCAGTGCGACGGGAAATGGGACCAGTGGCCCGGCAGGATCCACGAACATACCGGATCATACCGGAACAGGTGACGCTGCAGATCTGTTAGCAGCGGAAGCATGGCGCAGCGGATTAGCAGCCCTGACCAGGCAGAAACAGTCAGGATACAAAAATCATAACGCAGCAGGCTTAGGGTTATGGGACGGATGGGACTCCACCATCATCATCATCATCATCATCATCATCAGAGCTGCTGTGAGGCAGGGTATCATGCATGGAGCACAGAGACAGACAGAACCACGACTCAAACCCCATAAAGAACCAAGTGTGAAACTGGGGCTGTGTGCATTTTTTGGGAGGCGGCAGTCAGTTTAATCTGGGAGTCCGTGTGAGCTGGAACTGAGACCATGCAGCTAACCCCCCCCCCCCACACACACACACACACACACACACACACACGCACACGATGGCTAACGTGAGCTAATTTTCTTCGCGTGATTAAGGCTTCGCCTGTGGTTCTGGAGAGTTCTCTGCATAGATATGCCAGCTCCCCGGCTACTTGGCCGGCACGCAAGAACATTCCGAATAAATAACGCAATGAAAGCCGGCACATTTCCGGCAACAGACTTCGCCGTGTGGTTTCGGTACCTGGTCCTGCTGCTCGGCGTTCCTGCCGACGGAGCTGGCCGGCCACACGCTACACGGGCCGCCCACACGCTACACGGGCCGCACCCCGCCCCAGCGGGATCACCAGCAGCTGACACGAGCTCCTCTGACACAAAGCCACTCTGACAAAGACCAGAGACAATTCCCAGTGTGAATAGGAAATATTCCCTTCCCGACACCATCATCCATTTTCCCATATTCTGGGCTTGCTGGGGGTCATTAAAAGGAATGAAAATCTGTCCTCATAGCAACCAGCATCCTGAAGGGGGGGATTCAGCACCAACGGCAGAGCGGCGCAGTATGGAAAAACAACAGCAACAGTGAAGTTGTACAATCTGCCCCCCAGTTCCTCATCAAAACTGAACCGTAGGCAGTCCGACCTTATAAGCAGCGGGAGCAAAATCACTAGGGATAGACTGTAAAGGGACAAACTGGGCATGAGTCTAATACAGAACTGAGGATAAAAATATCCCAGCCTGGCTTTTAGGAAATCCAAGACGTTGTAGCCAGCAGAGGTCTCATTAGATGCAACGGCAATGGGAAGGATGGGAGAGGGACGGGCGAGTCCGTTTAATTGTGGAGAGACAGACTAAGCCAGGTCTCACTGGACAGATCAGCAGCAGGACTGAGGGAGGCCGGAAAGGACGGCACAATCCACAGCATCATTAATCATTCATCTCCACTGAGACAGCATAATGGATTTAGCCGTACAGAAAACCACAGCAGCCAATCCCAGGAGGCGACAGAGTAGCCAATCGGGCGCCAGCCTGACCTGGCCCGCCCTTCTGCAGCAGGGCTCCACGGCAACCTGGTCCAAGCTTCAGTCTTTTCTGTCATGTCTCTCCTGGCACTCTGGCTGTGGGCCTTTACCATAGCTATGCTTATTAAGGCTTGGCAGGGGGGTCGGGGTGGGGGGGGAGGCGTCTCTGGGTGAGATGGGCATACACCAATGAGACGGGATTGGTCAGGAGGAGGAAACAAAGGCATGATGTTCAGCGCCATTCCACTGCTGGAAAGAGTGGAAATACCTCCCACTGACACACTATCCGATGCCGACCCCAGGCGGGGGGGTAGGTCGCATCCCAACAGGAGCTGATGGAGCTGTTTTGAAGGCAGTTACCAGGCTGCTCCACCAAGTTCTGATGGGTGAATGCGATGGACTCCCAATTTTCCTGACAAATGCTTAATCAGCATTAACCAACAGCGATCAGCGTCACCCCGACAGCGATCAGCGTCACCCCGACAGCGATCAGCGTCAATTCACAACAATCAGTGTGACCTGCATGGACTTCAAGCGGACTGGGATACGCTGGTTCTTCCGTCGCAGAGGACAGATCCTAGAGCTGAAGAAACCGCTTGGTGAGGAACGAAAACACAGCTGGAACAGAGACCCGCACGTGTAGTTAAAACCCCAGAGCCTTTAATCGAAGTAAGACCTCTGTAAGAGTAAAGTGACACCGTTAGAGACCTGCAAGAGAGCCTGAAAATGCTGATCTGAGCAGGCAGGAGCAGAGAAGGCAGGACTGACCCAGTAACCTCAGGACCCTTAATGTCACCCGAAGATCAGGGGGATGAGGTCATATGCCAGTCACAGGTGGGAACAGCCATTAGCCAGCTAGCTCACCCACCCCCTCCTCTGGTGATATAGGGGGCGGGGGGCAGTTCACTGAGGAGGAGCGGTAAGAGGATGCGTTAATGCACCCCCAGCCAGGGTGGAGGCAGGGCAGGGCAGGGCAAGTCATTTCTTCTTAGACTGGGACTGATGGAAAACAAGCATCTGTAAGATCTGGTCAAACTCAGAAAGGGGGGGGCATGTGGGAGGAGAGACAAGCGTGTGTGTCAATCACGGACTCCCACGACCCCCAATCCCCGTCTGTACCGGAAAGGCAGCTTGTGACGGCATAAGTGTGACAGCGGCAGCTTAAACTCAGGGCTGCTAGCAAGTAACAGCCCTGGGTAACATGGGGAGAGGATGCAGCTCCATTCAGGCGGCAGGGAAGAAAATAAATAAAAAATGTTAGCGATACACCCCCCTCCTGGGGAAGCCGACATACAAGCCACAACCCCCCATGCTGGACTTCAACAAAATGACAAACTGCACTTAAAAAAAAAA